AATTCCTGCAGGAGTAAAAACGGGGTTTATTTAGACCAGCATGCTGGGGCTCCGCAGCATACCCCAAAAACGGGCAGTGGCTGAGAGCCCCGAACTTCTTCAAAGGGGATCTTATATAGGCCTTCACTGGCCGTTACAGCAAAGCCCGCGCATTTCATAGCCAATAGATTTGTAACAACATATACTTTCTTAACCAATCCATTTAAAAGTACCTCACTCCTTAGCCTATAGATTCAAAGATCAGCATTTACGTACATCGATTGTCAGCACAAGCAAGGTTATAGCTGGAATCATTAAGCCTTAGGTAATCTCCCTTGACCATCCTCGTTTTGTGTTACCCAAGTCTGCAGGGTGCTTTAGTGAGACAATACATTCCAGGAAAGGGCAATTTCCCCCAACCACCAGCATCCTGAGTTAGCCTTTACCCAAATCTGCAGGGTGCTTTACTGAGACAATACATTTCAGGGACAGTAAATACACCTGAATCTTGTAGAAAGAAGTTATGCCCTGTTCACTTTGCAAGTCCCCTCTCCCCCAGGTGCAAAGCAGCCAAGCAGTTTTACAGAAAGCAATGTTGCAAGTTAGCTAAAGTACACAAAAATTTGATGCCCTAATATGGATTCTTTCAAAACAAGTAAAGAAAAACTTTGCATCATTATACTGGACATAGGTAGAAGCTGAGACTAGCCCAGCTGTTGAAGGATTTTTAAAAAACAATGGTTAATGTAACTCTAATGCCAAGCATTGTGTTTATAGGCAGCAGTGCTGTGTTATGGACTCAAGTTTGCTAAGGGACTTGATCTTAAATGTTCTCACTACCACATCAACACCCCTCCCCCTGCTTATACACACACAAATTATATTTCCACAGAGGCATCAGCTCATAGTGCTGTGGTATCATATATTGCAGTACATATACATATATATACATATATATATATATATATGAAATCAGCAGCACTTTGTGTACTTCACAAACCAATTAAATAGCTATTAAAAATAAAAATGGCGGTGGGTGGGTGCTGGGAAGTCACTGTCAACCTGAGTTCAGTCTCTGGCACCCCACATGGTCCGCTGAGCCCCGCCAGATGTCATCCCTGAGTGCAAAGTGAGGAGTCAGCCCTAGGCATAGCTGGGTGTGGTTCTCCCTCACAAACCCTCACACCTACACACACAAAAGGGAAGATGTAAGGAAACACAACAAAAAAGCTAAAAACTAACTTACTTACAAATATAAAATGGGCATGTCTTGATCAAAGATATTATTTAGCCCACTAACTAGATAAAGAGAGCAGGTAAGGCATTATAACTGGCTCTAAGGAAAATGCAAAGTACCCATCTTTATAGTCAGATAATGGATGCTAAAATAGACTTGCCAATAGATACAAAGCTGACAAATCGGTCATTATCCACAGGACAATAATTGATTACATTCCAGTGGGCACAATTTGCATTTCTGTGGACAAAAAATCATTTGCATTACTATTAGTTTTCTTCAGTTTACAGAGCTTGAAATAGCTCAAAGACAATTCAGGCTTCACAGGACACCCATGAAATTTATGCCCACATTGCAGGCATAATTTTCCCTAAACAAGCAAAATTAGCATGGATGGATCCCCTCCTTATATCACATAATCTGACTTTTGTTTGATATGGGGCTCAACTGCTAATTACTGCTTTATTAGATTTTTGTATTTTATTCTTGGACAGAGTCCTATGTCTTGTTCCTTTAGAATGAGTCTATTTAGTAACAATCAGACTTTTGTTTTATAGTCTATCGAGCAGAAAAATATTTACTCCTACTCATCTTTCATAGTTGAGGTTGACTAATCCATTGTGTGTTTTTTTTCTCCCCCCTGGTTGTCGGGGGTGGGGAGGAAGCTACTGTTACTCTGTTTTGCTGCTCTGGAAGGACTGAAAAACGGTTTGGCTGGTGGAAGCTGAGTACTCTGCAGCTGTTCAAATACTTTGAGCCTTGGGGTTGATTGTGGATTTTGCTTTAAAACCTTTCCCAACTTGATAAAAAAAAAGAAGGAAACTTCAACAGCCGATGTCTGCTACTTTTTATTTTTTCTTTTCTTTTTTTTTTTTGCACTGTTGTTTGGTAAGCTGCAGTTATACTTTTGTAACCAGAGGCTGTGTTTATTTTCAGCGTTGGCAGTTCTGCCTAATGAATCAACTGGTATTGAATTCACAAAGGGAGATGCCGGCTCCCTCTCTCCATCTGTTTGCCAAATGTGTGTGTTCTCTGAGCTCCTCGAAGTGGTTTCACTAAAAAAGAGCCATTAGCAAGTGGGTGTTCTCAGTGATTCTCAGGCCCTTGTCTGACTGCTTAGTGCTAGGTCCCACTCATTGGTCCATGGGCTTGTTTATTTTTTGGGGGGTGGAAGTGGGGAGTACTTTGATTCTAGAGAAACTGTTGGCTCTGTCTTCACTCATAGCTTATTTCTTGAACCTTGCTTTAGTCGCTCTGAAAGATGTCTATGTCTGTTTCCAGACAGTCATGTTGCCATGGGGATGCAATTACTCAAGAGAGGGTAAGAAATTGACTGAATCTTGGTAGGCTAGAACTGGGCACTCTGATGAGTTTATGTGAGTAACAGTGTAATTATAGCAGAGCTTTATTCTAGTTTCCATTGAAAGTAAGAGAAAGATTTTTAGCAAAATATGGAGATGTGTTTTTTTTAATGATTTTTAGTTTCCAGTCATGCATTGGGGAGGCTTTTTGATGAGATTTTGCTGTTATTTGCTGCTTCTTGTTCAAGTACAATTGAACTTGGTGCCATCCATATATGAGTGATGTGCCTTACCACCCGACTACATCCCCACCCTGATGAATGTGCCTTAAAAACCATGTATGTTCGATTAATCAACTAAAAGTTTGCTAAGGTTAAGACTGATATAGTAGAGAGGGCAATGGTCTGAGATTCTAAATGTCTGTCAAATTGTGGACCAGGTAGTCTTTGGAGCAATTTGAACAGTAAAAGGGTTTATCAGTTGGAAAATAAGATCAGTGTCCTGGGTCAGACACTCATACCAACTCCTCTTGCAATACACCTTTGCATTATAGGCAAAATATTTCCATTGAGGTTAGAATTCTGAGGACATCTTTGTAAACTGAGGTGACATTTGATTTTATAAATTTCCTTTGACATGTTATCGTTCCATCACCAAAGGACTAATGTTCATCCGCTGCCGTCCAATTGATTCCCTCTACCATCCCATTGAAACCATTTTCAAATGCAATTTCAAAAGCAATTTATGAGTTACTTGGGTTTTCTAATACCTGTGTACATACAGCAGTGGTTATGATCTTTCCGAGTAACTAGCCCCACTTCCTTATATATTACATAAAGAAAAATAATTTCTCTTAAATTTGATTGCCCGAATATTTTAAATCAGTCTCGTATACTGTGCCATTTCACTTAGCTTACTAAACAGTTTTGAAAGCACTGAGTGTCATCCATGGAGTCTTTTGAGTGCGATTAAATGTTATTACTCTTTACTGACCTAGATAAGGGACAGTATTTTTACTGTCCTTTGAGTGTCCACTGACCCCTTTGCACTGTTTAGCCCCTCTTCCTTCCCTATCACACACAGAAGACACCCCATTTAAGCACTCCGCTCATCTGCATCACCCTCATCGTAGTTTCCGACATAATTTCTAATTAGATTTCTAGTTGTTAATTAATTTTAGAATTTACAAGAGAATTTGAATTCTCAGAAAAACTAACTGATGCCAACAACAATAAAACAGTATTCACTGGGGCAAGCAGAGAGGGAAGGACATGGAGTCAGAATGGTAAGGGAAAGGCATCCCCAGTGGATGCAGGAGACTTGGAATGTGCCAGTAGTGAGAAGTTCTTTCAGAAAGGTGTTTAGAATTTCACACTTTTTGACTTAGCAGAGGAAAGGATCAAGGAGGGAGAAGTTTTCTATGAGGAAAACCAATAGGTTTCTTTAAGAAAAGAGAAAAAAAGATAAGAATGCTGGTGATCGTTTGCTCAGCAGGTGTTGCTGGGCAGATGGCATCCTCACAGTCTTGAATCTTTCTGTCTCAGAGCACTTCATTTCCCAGAAGTCGCTGTTTGCAGCCTGATAGAGGAGGCTGTGAGAAGACTTTTTCCTGCATTTGGGGAATCTGAGATGTTTTCCCTTTAATATACCAACTGCAGGGTTTTGGGACTTGAGGTGAGGGAGTCATCCACCAAGCAAATGGGAGGAACTCAGGTTCTGTGTGTTCAGTGCATTGTGTGGAAAAGTTATTTTGCATTAAAATCTTTGTTTCCCTCTTTTTTTGAAATATGAATGGGACTTCTAAACTCCTCATAGGACTTCTCTTTTTCAAGCATTTGTTGTGAGTGGGAATCTACATTGGCTGAACCCAAATAAATTTACTCTGGGGCTCATGTTCATCTGGCCATGTCAACCCTAAGGCCCCAGGGCCCATGAAAGACACACTTTATATCCAATTTTAATTTGTATTCATTGTTTTTTGAAGGACTTGAAGGTCTGGAGTGATAGTACAGTGGGTAGGGTGTTTGCCTTGCACACGGTTGACCCGAGTTCGATTCCTCCATCCTTCTCAGAGAGCTCAGCAAGCTACCGAGAGTATCCCACCTGCATGGTGGAGCCTCGCAAGCTCCCAGTGGTGTATTCGATATACCAAAAACAATTACAACAAGTCTCACAATGGAGGCATTACTGGTGCCTGGTAGAGCAAATCGATAAAACAATGCAAAGACAGTGCTGATATGCTACAATGTGTTTTTTTGAAAGCAGGATTATTTATTTATATTTTTACTATGTAGAAGATCAAAAAAAAGTGTATTATTGATATTTTTAAATATGATCATAGTTGAATGTCAGGTGTTTGATCGATGCTGAAGATAATTTGAGTGTTTAAAAATGGAATAAAAATTCTAAAAATTATGATTTTTGATGACATAATATTATTTGTGTAATTCCCTTTATTAAGTGTGTTACTTTTTCATCCTCAGCCATCAAACACAGACAACTTGCTGGGATCATCCAAAAATGACTGAACTCTTTCAGTCTCTTGGTAAGTGTCTCATTAATGGTAGTAAATTCACCTGAACAGCTGAGAACTATGATATTTTTACATGGAAAACATTTTTTTTGTACATGGTGTGTTAAAAGGATCATTTATTTGATACATAAAAGGAGTTGTATTTCTAAGGGCAAAGCAAACACCTTTTGTTTTCTTCTTAGGAGAATGCGTGGTTTGAAGTAGCCTCAGTCATAAAAGGTTGATTTTTAAAAGGATGAATGCTATTAGAAGGTGATTTTCTTCCATCATGTTGAATCATCTTAACCATCAGTTTTGTGTAAAAACTGCTATTGAATAACCTCTAATTCTCTGCCTTAAATGTGCTGTTTTAGGACCATACCTGGCAGTGCTAAGGGCTCTACGTTTAATGTTCATTTTATTTTAGGAGGGGTCACACTGGCCAATGCTCAGGGGTTACTCCTGGTTCTGCACTCAGGAATTACTCCTATTGGTGCTCAGGGGATCATATGGGGTGCTGCAGATTAAAACCGGGTCAATCACGTCCAAAGCTAATGCCCCACCCCTGTGCTTTCACTCTGGCCCCTTAAGTTTCACTCTTTTTTTTTTTTTTTTTTTTTTTTGCTTTTGAGTTACACCAGGCAATACACAGGGGTTACTCCTGGCTCATGCAATCAGAAGTACTCCTGGCAGTGCTCAGGGGACCATATGGGATGCTGGGAATCGAACCAGGGTCAGCTAGGTACAAGGCAAATGCCCTACCTGCTGTGCTATCGTTCTTGCTCCAAGATTCACTCTTTACGGTACTCAAGGACTATATCTAATGCTAGAATTTGAACAAGGGTCAATCAAGTGCAAAGCAAGTGTTATATTTCCTGGACTATCTCTCAAGCCCTAAACTTGCTAACTTTTAATTCTGTATGTTCATCTTAGAATGAATTTAGCTTTTTTTTATGACCACTGAGACAAAATAAAATCAGGCCACTTAATTTAATATGAATTTTATTAACTTCACTAATTTTTTTTTGTCTCAGCATAAAAAGTTAAATTCATTTTAAGAGACAAAGTGATAGTCCAGCAGGTATGGCTTTTGCCTTGTACGTGGCTGACCTGGTTTCAGTTCCTGGCATTGCATATGGATGGTGCCCTGAGTCCTGCCAAGAATGATCCCCGAGTGCAGAGCCAGAAGTAAACTCTAAGCTCAGCTGGGTGTGGACCCCAAACAAACAAAGAAGTCTGTTTGATTTTATTTATTTTAACATGAACATGCAAGAAAGCATGTAAAATGAAGCTCCTATTTTGTGGATTTTGGGGGGAAAGTGTTCTAGATTTCCATCCTTCCTTTAGTCTACTCCAGTGGTTTGGGGAGTAAAGATGCTGCTTCAGGCGGCTATCAGCCCTCTGGTATGCTTCTGTCTATTTCTGAATCAACAAAACAGCCACCGCATTTGTCTCTATTAAACATGGGGCGTCTGCTTGAGCTTACAGTTAGGTCAGTGAGGGAGAACAAGCAGGGAAAAATATGCCGGCTTATCAAATGAGAAGGAGGAAAATTTGGATGACTTGAATCTTCTCTTCTCGCTCTGCTAGTCTCTAATCTGGGGCCTGACCGCAAATCCAACTTAAAATATTTGGCATTATTCAATGAACTTTTCCTCCAGAAAAGTCCTCTGAGCGGTATTATGTGATGGCCATTTTACTGTTACTCGCAAGAATCTGAAGGGGCTGAAGCGATAGCACAGCGGCTAGGGCGTTTGCCTTGCATGCGGCTAACCCGGGTTCGATCACCAGCATTCCATATGGTCCCCCGAGCACCACCAAGAGTAATTCCTGAGTGCAGAGCCAGGAATAACCTCTGAGCATCACCAGGTATGACCCAAAAAGAAAAAAAAATCTGACTCCAGTTCAGTTCCCCCAAGTGTTGTCAACAAGTGACTCCAGCACTGAACAAGTAGTAGCCCCTGACCACCTTCAGGTGTTCCCCGCCCCAAAAGAAGTTCGACTATTGGGTATAGAAAACTTTTAGTCAGATATGTTAAAGAGCAGAAACAACACACAAATCAGGACGAAAGGAACCTAGCCCTGAGGCTGGCTTTAGGAGGAGGTGATATCCTGGTGGATAGGTCCGGAGTTGTCCTTGGGAGAGAGAGATGCCCTAGAGGGAATTCCTGTTAGCCACAGAGAGTGAGCAGGGCCCTCAGCCTACTGAAGTGCATCTATTAAGCATGGAAAGTTAACTGGCGGCTTTCCACACCCCTCCCTCCCCAATTCCCTCCTTTTCCTCTCTTGAAATATTCTGTCTAGCATGAGGCTAATGAAGACTTCTTTGGAATGCATCTCCCCATGAGGCTAATGAACACTTCATTATTTTCTTAAATAAATGCTGGGGGCACTTCGAAGACTTCTTTATGCAGTCGGACTGGATACTGGCCCTCAGCTAGAGGAAGCAGATCAGTGCTTGCCACTGAATAGACGTTAAATGCCATGTGTTGTCTTTTGCATTGCAGCTGACCTGAACAACGTGCGTTTCTCGGCCTACCGTACAGCCATCAAAATCCGAAGACTGCAGAAAGCATTATGTTGTGAGTTACTCGATCAAATTCATCACTTTTTGAAGTGTCTGTTTTGTTTTGTGAAGACAAAGATAAATGAAGGGCCAAGTGTTTGTGAAGTTCATCTGATTTCCATATACCTCATTCAAGGAGTTGGCTGTGTTTCTCCAAATGTGCTGCCGTTTGCCCCCTTTTGCCTGCCTGCAGTAGTTTAACAAATGAATATACGCCAGTCTCAGCGGGAGCCCCAAACTAACCAGAATACAAGAGTAACATCAAAGGCTTTTTCAAAACTGGAGCGTTAGCACAGCGGGTAGGGCGTTTGCCTTGCACGCGGCCAACATGGCCGACCCGAGTTCAATTCCTCCGCCCCTCTCGGAGAGCCCGGCAAGCTACCGAGAGTATCTCGCCAGCACGGCAGGGCCTGGCAAGCTCCCCGTGACGTATTCGATATGCCAGACACAGTAACAACAAAGTCTCCAATGGAGACGTTACTGGGCCCGCTCGAGCAAATCGATGATCAACGGGAGGGTCTTTTACCTTTTTACCTTACCTATGCTGCCACCAGATTTGAAAGGAGGATAACAAGGCATCAAAGTACAAAATCTTCATTTCCTAATACTTTTTGTCCAGGTAGAAGTGTAGGGTTCCAAACAGTGTGACTTGATACTATCATATAATAAACACTATAGAGTCTCGTTTGTAACCAAATGTGAACCAGCAACTTAAAATTTAGATAAAAGGCTTTCTGTATGATTTAGAATGTCTTGAGATATTTGGCATTATTCATATGAACTTTTCCTACAGAAATGTTCAGAGTGGCATTCTATGCTGATCATTTTACTGTGATTATCTCCCTTCACACACACACACACACAACACATACACACACACACACACACACTTGAGAGTGGTGAGGTAGCTTAACGGTCTGGAGCACAAGTTTCACATTTGGGAGCACTCGGTTCACTTCTAGGAACTACAAGGACCCTGAGCACGAGTTTTTGCCAATAAATAAATAAATAAAACTCTATGATCCAAATATCCCAATCTACTCCTTTATTAACAGTCATTCGGGGCAGTTCCCCACTCAGTGGTGCTGAGGGGTCACTTTCCGGGGACCATGCAGTGCCCACCTCCACAGCCAAAGCTTGTCCTCAGCCCTTTGAGCCAGCTCCTCGGCCCAGCCATTGAAGCTTCTCTGTTGAGGCTTCTTAGAAAATATTTAGGCCTGTCAGATTATTAACTTGGAAAGTGACATTCGCCTATTTAAGACAGGGTAATTTAAATAATTCCAAGTACTCTTGTTTCCCCTCTTTTGTTAACAGTTCTCAGACACAGTGAGGCTTTAAATGTACCCTTGGCAAAATGACAGATTCAGGTGAAAAATCTGCTCTTTAAAACTCAGTAAAAAAATTAGCCATGACTTTGATGACTGAAGAGGGTTAAGGAAAGAGAAGCATAGAATCATTCGAGAAAATGGAGCAAGGCACAGCTCTAGAATAAGACCAAGCTAAGCTCTGTGTGGAAGAGAAATCACCCGTGCTGCAAACCCCTTCAGGTGAGGCAGTGGAGGAGCAGAGAACCTTACCTGGCATCGTCTTCAGGGCCCTGGAGCTGATTGGCCAGTGGCGACATTAGCAGAATTTCCAGTGCTAAAACAATTGAGCCCGCACCCTCTGGTTGGTGCTGTGCTGGCAGAGCCAAAAGGAAAGAGGAAGTGATTTAGGAACACAAATGTAAGGCCAGGGGACAGCAGTTTTGAAAAAGACCCATCTGTGTGTCCAGTGTCCAGCTACCAGATCTGGAAGGTCTTCTCAGGCCCCATGAGTTCTAAAATGAGGACAAAGGAGTCAGCCACAAAACCCCCGTGGACGGGAAACCATTTAGTGTTCTCGGCAATGCTTTGGCTGCTGAAACCTATGCATATGTTTGGTGCTTCCTTCTCTTGGCTGTGTTGACTCAGAATACTTCCTCAGCTCATTCCTTCAACCCTGAGAGGGGCAGACAAGAAGGACCTCCTTCACTTTTGGAGTAAGTGGCAGGATATGCCAGGGTGCCCATAAGGGATATCCTTAGAGACACTTGACCACTCCTTTTTTTTCTGCCTCCCCAGTCCTCTAGAAGGAGTGTCTTTGCCCAACTTGTGGGAACACATCTGTTCAGGATTACTTGCTCCTGCCTCTCTGCCTCTCCCTTCTTTCCTGTTTACTTGAAATGCCCTGATCACTGCTCAGCCAAGGAGTGTTAATCCTTTGTTCCTCCCCCAATAGTCTTAGAAATGAACTGGGTTTGGAAACATTTATGAGTGAATCCCATCTGCCTCCAATTTTGATTGAAGTGCCTCCCTTTTATGATCACCTGGAAAGTCTGTTTCTTACACTGCACATTCTGTCGGGTGATGGATCCTGCTTGGGGTTGGGGAATGGTTTCTCCTTTTGTGTAAATCCCTGTCCAGCATATCTGTCTTAAGGGACGGGATAATGTCTACTGATTGCCTCATTGACTGGGCTCCAAGGCTGGTTCCAGTCAAGAAACTAGGTTCCCATGCTCAAGAAGTTTGGGTTCAGAAGGGACATTTTACACACGGGCACAGCTCCCAGCTTCCAGTAGATAATTATGGTCCTCGGGGCAGAATGGTATGTGCTTGGTCCATCAGTCTCTGTGAGTTTGTCCTGCAAACTGTTCTCTTAGCAGTTCAGGTGGATGGACCAGATGGGAAGTCTTAGCCTTAGTTGTTCCCGTGGCCAATATTCTTCCTTCTATTCTTCCCAGTTGAACTGTCATCTGTTTTGGGATTAGTTAAAAAATGTAGATCTCCCATATTATTCCACTTCATCAACTCAGTCTTTCTAGGACATGTGTCATTTTTTTCTAAGCTTTCAGGAGAGGGACTGGTCTTCTTGTGTGTTGGTTTCTCTTCTTCAGGCTTCCCATAGTTTCAGGCTCAGAGATGGAAGGATTTGACTTTGGAATGACAGGGGTACACCAGAAAAATATATGTAATAAGATTTATAGCTTTTCTTTTGACAGTAAAATTTGTTGAAATTTGGCACATTTACAAGTTGATATAATACAGTAACAAAACTAAAAGGACTGGGGGCTGGAGCAATAGCACAGTGGGTAGGGCGTTTGCCTTGCACACGGCCGACCCAGGTTCGATTCCCAGCATCCCATATGGTCCCCCGAGCAACGCCAGGACTGATTCCTGAGTGCAAAGCCAGGAGTAACCCCTGAGCATCGCCGGGTGTGACCCAAAAAACAAAACAAAAACAAACAAAAAAACTAAAAGGACTGGTAATCAGCACCCATGTGCTTGAATCTTAGCACTATACCTTTGAATGCAAAAAATTAAGTGGTGGGTATTTGATTCAACTCATATGTAGTTCAAAACTCTATAGAACTGAATGCATTATTGACTAAGTAAATATATACACTGCTAAAACTGAAAGATAAAGGCCAGGGATTTCCCTTGTGATTGTACAGAGGATGTAATTAAGGTTGTCAAAGCTTTCATTTTCTATTTTTAGCTGTACTTAATGAATATATGTACTTACTATTGAGGGTGCTTTTCATTTCGGTTTTGAGTGTTTTTTGTTTTTGTTTTGTTTTGTTTTTGTTTTGTTTTGTTTTGTGTTTTTTGCCACACAAGTGATGTTCAAGTTTTACTCCTGGCTCTGTATTTGGGGACCTCTGGCTCTGAGAATCAAATCTGGGTTGGCCGCATGCAAGACAAGTACCCTATCTGCTGTACTATTGTTCCAGCCCATTTTGTGTTATTTTGGTCATTATCTGTATTATGACAGGAGATCATATATATGTTTTTACACAGTTGGTTTTTTGAGGGTGAAGATGGAAGGGTTGGGCCATACTCAGTGGTGCTCACGACCTACCACTGGCTCTTCCCTGGGTTCACTCCTGGTTCTGAATACCATCTGATGCTGGGGATTGAACCAGGGCCTGCTGCATATGAGGCTCACACCTTAACTCCTGTACTAACTCTCTGGCCCCATGTTCTAGCATGAAACCTTTAGGTGATAGACACAAAAGGGAAGTTCTCTCAGAAGAGATAAAATGTCCATCATCATGAAGAGCATGTCACGGCTCCTTGAATAGGAAGCAGATTGTCCTTGACCCCAGCCTAAGATGAAAGAGAGTTGCCCTCTGAGAATCCAAGACACAAATACATTCACTTGCAAGTTAGTGTAGGCCAAATTTTTATTCCTCCTTAGGCCACCCAGTGATCTCTTGTTGCCTGAATGTAGCCAGATTGATGCCAGACTTAATGGGACGCCCAATCAGCACAGCACACTCTACCCACCTGGCCTTCTGAGTTGCTGGACAACAACACACAATGCGCTGACCCACAGCTTCGTAGGATGTCAATGGAAAGGCTTCCGAACTGCATGTCCAGTAGTCAGAAACTTTAAAATGAGCCGTGTTCCAATTAAAGGCTTTTTTTTCCGTGACCCCTTTAGGTTTTTGTTCTATAAGCTCAAGAAATACTATTGATAATACATAGATAATGTCTTTATTTATTTATTTATTGGGTTTTGAGCCTCCCTCAGTGGTGCTCAGAGTTTAGTCCTGACTCTGCACAGGTATCCCTTCTGGTGATAGTCAGTAGCTCATATCAGATGTCAGGGATCGAACCCTCATCAACTGGGTATAAGGCAACACCTTACCCACTGCACCATCTGTCCAGCCACGTAGATAATGTCTTTTAGAGTGAAGTTCTATGGAACTGTTTTCTGCTTGGTGGGAGCCTAAAAGCGGGGCCAGAAACAGCTGTATGATACAGGCCATGTGTAAGACACATAAGGACCTAGGGAACAGGGGACAAGTAAATTGTGTGAAAGAGGATGAATGCCAATCCAGCCAGTGGAACAAGGGAAGAACAGGATATGGATTTATAAGGAGGCCGAACTGAGAGCTGGGGAATTTGGTAGCTGAAAAATTCCAGAAGGAAGAAGGAGACTGAGGAGACCTCGTGATTTGCAGAAGGCTGGACTATAGAAGGATAATAATGTTCTTATATATTTCGTTATATGACAAGGACAGAACTTTGTTTGGAACAAGTTAAGGTGAGATTCTCAAAAGAGCTCAGTTGAGAGCAGAGCAGCAGGAAAGTTAAGTCAGTCTTCAGAAAGGAGCATAGGGTTCGAAACAGTGGCGTCTTCCAATGAGAAGAATAACCAAAGTGATGAAAGAGAGAGCCCCAAGGCTGCGAGAGTAAAAAGGCAGGTGTCTTTCTGAGGGCTCTGGGAAAGAGGAGCTGTGGAACGTTCTAAGAGGGAATGGTCCCATTCAATCAGGTGAGCACCAGAGATGAGCCCAGACGTCCTAGGTGCTGAGCACTGTGTATTTCTTTAGAATAGGAAACTGATGACCTATTTCCTTTTCATCACTTCAGTGCCTCATGTGGGAATAAAGGAAAACGTACGAAATTTTGTTCGAAAATGTTTCTACTGTTTCTTTCCCTTTTCATGTGACTGAGCTGTCATTTTTCTCCCATCAGAAGTAGAAAATCATAATGTTCTGGCGTTCGGTGTAGTCAGTTCTTTAAAGGCACCTAAATGTGGCACTTAAGAAAGATGTATGCTTGGCTTTGGCATTAAGGCAGAGTGTCAGAGTAAATCGCTAAAAATTGAAGACATGATGGTCTTGTGATAAAGCAAATTGCTATCACAGCTACAAAGTATAATACAGAGGGGATTTTGCCCTCCCCTGGAAGAAATGCAAGGACACCCTGATCCAGGAAATAGTCTTTGGAATTTGGTCTATTGTCATTTTATGCCATGTGGGGGCAGACAATAGGGATGCTGTGTTGCTGGCATAATTAGTGTTGGGATGCAGAGCAATCTGGCAGTATTTGAATATGCTTCTTTGTATCTGTGTGAAATTGTGTCTGTGTGGAATGTAACTGCTGTCGCTATTAAGTACTTCCCTTTGCCAGACACTGTGAAGAATTTGAATTTTCTGTCTGCCCTCTGGAAGTTTATCATTGGAAGGAATGGTCTGTGCCATGAAGTAGGGTAAAAATGACAATGTTAATTCTAGACGGTACTTACTCTTTTACTGACACATCAGTAACTCATGTGAAAATTATACAAGTTATTTCTGTTACTATCTGAAATTTTATCAGTGATGTATCTTCCTTATGTCTGATGGATATAAATTGACCCATTTTTCAGGCTTCTGTATTTTATATTGTGTCTCTCCTTTTTAAATGTTTTTCCTGTTGAGTTGTTTTAGAAAGAATTTGTTTGCAAGTATCATTTGAAGGCAGTTTTTGTCCATGGTGCACGCTTGAAAAATGATTGTGTACTAGGTCAGAGTCACATGAGCAGCTAGCTAAAGTAGACACAGTCAAATATTAAAAAATAATTGTTATGTCATGATAAATAAATACAAATTCATTTTATTTAACTTAAAACATGCCATCATATTTTTTGGAAAATAATTTTGCATCAGGCAAGAGAAATTATTTGTATTTATGTAGCATTGTCTGTCCTTTAGCACTGTCCTCCCATTGCTTATCGATTTGCTCAAGTGGGCACCAGTAATGTCTCACAACAAATTGTGAGACTTCTTGTTACTGTTTTTAGCATATCGAATATGTCACAGGTAGCTTGCCAGGCTTTGCCATGCAGGCGAGATATTCTCGATAGCTTGCCAGGCTCTCCGAGAGGGGCGGAGAAATCGAACCTGAGTCAGCCACATGCAAGGCAAACATCCTACCTGCTCTGCTGCCTCTCTAGCCCTTGTATTTATGTATTATAGTTATATATGATATATAATGACATATTAGGGCTACATATTATAATAAGTTCCGTGGATATTTATTTTTTAATGTTTCTCCAGTTCAGAAGCCCTAAGCACCACTGGGTGTGTCCTCTCCCCCCCAAAATAAAGTATGAAGCACTCATTTCCATAAATGGACCTTAAATTCTTGTGGGTCCCACAATTTTCTGAACCCTTATGCTTAGATTTAGACAAGTTATCGTTGTCAACAAATGTGAATGTGTACAGTAATCTGAAAATCTGTAATGGTTCTTGTTTTCAGTGAATGACTGAGAACTGTTTTGTTTTGTTTTGAAGCCCTTCTAGTCTATTATTTAAGTTATTTATTTTTAATGACCACCATAAGGTACAATTATAGACTTAACACACTTTTGTGATTCCATTTCAGTCATACAATTGTTGAGTATCTGTCCCTCCACCAGTACCCATTCTACCACCAATGTTCCTATTTTTTTAAAAATATCATTATATATTTTCAATAGCACAGCGGGTAGGGCGTTTGCCTTACAAGCGGCCAACATGGCCGACCCGAGTTCGATTCCTCCGCCCTTCTCGGAGAGCCCGGCAAGCTACCGAGAGTGTTCGATATGCCAGACACAGTAACAACAAAGTCTCCAATGGAGGCGTTACTGGGCCCGCTCGAGCAAATCGACGATCAACGGGAGGGCCTTTACCTTTACCTTTATTATTTCTAGTTTGGCTGAATTCTATCTCTGGACGTAGAGGGTCTTCAGCAGGGCTTTGAGTTCGGAGACTTCGGGGCACCCACCCTCCCCACTACCCCAAACTGTTGGCCGAGGCCTCCTCATAGCCTTCCTTGTCTCTTTACCTCCCTGTCAGTAGTTCTGTTCTGAAATACTCTTCTTGTGCTACATGGATTTCTTGTATATTAGCTCTTCCCTATGGTCCATTTCAAATTTGCCTTCAGAAGGAGCCTTTTCTCACTGCACTTCTCAAATAGAAGTAGTTCTCAGAGATATTTGTACTGTTCTTTTAGGGAATTTTCACTCCTTTTAGAAATGTGATCAGCATGCTTCTCCTCCTCATCTTTGAGAACAGGGTTCCACCTTATCGATATGTGTCCACTGTGCATGTAAGAATCTGGACACTCCTACATGTAGGCCCGTGGATGCAGGCCTTGTTTTATGAACACCTCTTATTCCAATCTACAATTTGCCTGTATGCTATGACATCAAGCTAGGTTCGGTCCAATTTGAAAGGGCTACATAGACCAGGTTTGATTTGCTAGACAGTGCAGAAATATTTTCCACAGAACCCATTACTACTCATACTTGGTGAACATTATATTATGTTATTATTCTATTATATTATTGTAACATTACATTATATTATTATTTCCCAATGTACATGTTGAGAAGCTGGCTAAGAATTATTTGCTTGGCAATGATATAAAGGATGAATAGGAGGTGAGGGAGAAGACTGCTATCTGAATTTAAGAGGAGGAAAATGATGCATTTGGGATGGTCTACCATTTGAAGTAGGGGTAAAGATTTGTGCCTCTCTGTTTTAAAAGCAGAAAGAGCCCACAAAGAGGAAAACCAGAAAAGTATGGTAAAAAAAAATCAATATTTCGAAGATCAGGAAATGAGATCACATTGAAAGGTGGAAAATTCAGGTTCAAAAACACAGAATGTGGACAAAGGAAAAGGCTAGAATAGAAATACTTTGTGTTTCTTCAAAAGCTGAAATTAGCTGGAAAGTAGAGATTCTTAAATCAAAAAATCAGGCTGAATACTTGAGAGAAGGGATGTTTTTACTTCGATGTTACGTACTGTGTTGACTACTCATACTCCCTTTTTCTTCCCCAATTAGTGGATCTTTTAGAGTTGAGCACCACAAATGAAGTTTTCAAGCAGCACAAACTGAACCAAAACGATCAGCTTCTTAGCGTTCCTGATGTCATCAACTGTCTGACAACAACCTATGATGGCCTGGAACAGATGCATAAGGACCTGGTCAATGTTCCGCTCTGTGTGGACATGTGTCTCAACTGGTTGCTCAACGTCTACGATACGTAAGTTTTCGTATTTATTCCCATTAAAATATAATCATTTATATTTGGGGGCAGAGCCATAGTACAGCTCGGCGGGCGTTTGCCTTAAACGTGGCCAACCCCATTTTAATCCATGGCATCCCAAATGGTCCTCCAGGGGTAATTCCTGAGTGCAGAGCCAGATTAACCCCCAAGTATTTCCAGGTGTGGCTCCAAAACCAGAATGTAATTTTGGGGAGTTAGAGCACACAGGACCACACCTGGTGGTTCTCAGGAGATATGCCTGACTCTGTGCTCAGGGGTCACTTCCAACAATATTCAGAAGACCATATGTGTTGCCAGGGATCTAACCAGGGTCAGCTGTGTGTGAGGCAAGTACCATAACCCTTGTACTATCTCTCTAGTTTAAAAATGTCAAAAATTTTAAGTACCTTCAAGGGTACCTTTTTGATTGGAAAAATTTATTTAATGGTCACCAGATACAGATAACTCTCATACTGAGATCTTAAACACAGAATAACAACAAAAAAAGATTTTCATGTAATATTCTAAGATTTTGCTCTGATTTATAAAAATGTTAAATATATAGTTATTTTTTTATTTCCATGCTAGGAAAATAGTATGAATAATTCAAATAAATCAAACTTTTTCCTCTTTCATAATGCTTTTTTGAAAGACAATATTTTTTCTGTAACATTATAAATTAAGCTGCTAGGCCTTCTCATAATAATCCACTCTGCAATTTTTGTATGAGAGCCTAAGAGCAATTTGAATGGCAATAAAAGGGATTTAATTTGTCATTTCATATTAGTGTTATTTATTGCAGTGGTGATTATGTGTTATATGGTGTTTAAATAATTTATGTTATAAGACTAATATCTGTAATTAATTAAGGACTCATTGTTACATCAGAAGCAAACTGAGCTTCCATGAGACTCATTTTTCCATTACTTTGACTTTTTGGAATGTGAAGATGCATTTTTGAAGTAATCAATTCTAGAGATACCTGCTGTGGGCTGACATTTCTAAAACATTAGGAATTATTCATTCTTCTGGTAGGGGGTTAAAGTATGCAAAGATGAAATAAGAAAAGTTGAACTGTTGTTCTTCTCTTAGACGCTAAAATTTATTTTCTATTAATTAGCCATATGAAAATTTTTGTTTATCAGCCTTTTATTTCATCTAGAGAGAAAGAAGATAAATGGTAGTTCAAAAATGTGCACACGTCTAGCAGCTGATTGATTCTGTACAAGTAAATGATGACAATGGCTTTAGAGAAGATTTAATTAAAATTTTTCTGCTTCTTTTGATTAGAAAAATCTTTCATTTTTCAGCATAATACAGACAAGTCCCCTTTTAACAATCAAATAGGACTCTTAAGATTTGAGGACTCTTAAGATGAACTCACTGAAGAATGGATCTCAGTTACCATAATGAATATGGGATTTACCATCACTTGCTTGATATCTTTGAATTCATTTTATTTTTAAGAAAACCTTTGTCCTCTCAGGATAAAATATGACTGAGCAATTACACATTATCAAATTGATCTTCATGTTTTTAAACCATTAAAAGACACATGTAGCATTAGTAAATTTGACAAACCTTCCTTCTAAATTTAATGGAATCAAGAATAGTTAAATTCTGGTTCAAGCAGTAGTTTGCAATATTTGGCTTAGATATTCTTGGACTGGAGATAGAGTACAGACATAAATCCCTTGCTTGTGTGAGGCCATTCTCTGTTTGATCCCCGTCTCTTCCTCTGGTCCCCTGAGCACTTCTAGGGATTGATCAAGTACCAAGAACTGAGCTAGGAGTAGTCCCTGTGTATTGCTGGGTGTTGCTCAAAGATAACACACACACACACACGCACGCACAAAGAGAGAGAAAGAGAGATAGGGCTGGAGAGAGAGAGTGTGTGTCCAGAGTACAATTGTAGGCAGCGGAGAGATAGTATAAAGTATAGGCTCTTCCTTTGCATACATCTAGCCCACATTTGATCCCTGGCACCACAGAAGTCCCTGAGACCCACCAAGAGTGATCCCTGACCATAGCTGAGAGTGTCCTCCAAACCGAACAATCCAGAACCAAAAAGACTACTGTTACCATGTTACCTTAACTAACTATTCACTTCACTTTTTTTTAAAAGGAAAAAAATTGTCCCTTTATTAAATATTAACTAATTTTCTGCAGTTTTTTTTGCCATTGTTCAAGATAGATATAATTTTATAAAGTAAAACTTATTTCACGAGTTACTTATGTAAATTGTTCAGGAAACCAAATATCTAAATACTGGATTATGTAACTTATTAGTAAATTCCATTGGCTTTTTTTTATTTTTAAGTTTTGATATTTATAGAAATTCCTCTGTCGCCTAGTCCAGTTTTATCATCCAGTTAGTCTGAATTAGTCACTTTCCGAGTGTTCATTCCCTTCCCTCTGTCCCTTCACCCAGATGTTTTCTGTGAATATTTACTTTTCTCTCATTGGGACAGTTTGGCTATATCATGACTTCATTGTCTGATACCTGGACCTAACCTTCGCTACCAAATGTTGTGTAGCTAATTACTACTTTGACTAATTGACATTATTTAGTGACCATTCAGTTACAAAGTTCCTTAAACTTTTCTATGTGTCCTTATAATGCATCAAATAGTGTATTTATCACATTCTTTTGTGTGGTGCGGAAAGTTCATGACAGATCGTGATGCTCAGAATTTATTCCTGGCTCTGTGCTCAAGAATCACTCCTAACAGTGCTCATAGAACCAGATGCGATACCAGGGATTCAAACCAGCACTGGCTGCTCAAGAGGCAAGACCCTTAAGTCCCTATTTCTCTAGACACCTTCAAACGCCCCCAACTCCTGTCCACATTAGACCTGTATAAAGAGGCTAAAGAGACAGTACAGCCAGTAGGGAATGGCCTTGCACACAGCTGTCCCCAGTGCAGTGCTCAGCATCCCATGTAATTTCTGAGAGCAAAGCCAGGATTAACTCCTTGAGTGAGTATGGTGTAGCCCCAAAAACCAACAAACACAAAACTCTTTATAACTGTTGATGATGCAGTGAATTGGGTGATTGGCATATTCAATAATCTTTCTGATGATGTTTGCTCTGTGTTCTCCCCGTAGACTAGAGGTCACTGTCATTGTTCAATGTGTACCTTTTAAATCTTTTTCAAGAAATTGCTTTATCCTAAACCATGTTTTATTTATCAGCCTTTCCCATAGCCTTTTGTTATCTTGTCCAGATCTGTTTTCTGTATTCAAAGAATGAGAGCTGCTGATTTGTGGTGGACGGAAAGCATACTTTGTTTTTTATATGACAACTAGAAAATACCTCAAACTACAAAGCAGAAATACTGTTTGTAGCACAGTTTAAAAGTTAGGAAACTGTATTGGGTATATTAATTTAAGATTATTGTTGAGGTTATCTATTTTCTTTTTAAAATTTAAGTATTAGTTATTTTATAAATATTCTGAATGTTGCTTATATGCAGGGCTGGAGCGATAGCATAGCGGGTAGGGCATTTGCCTTGTGCGCAGCCAGCGCACAATATTATAATTGTGAAAATAAAACTAAGTTTTAAATTTGTTTTCTGAATAGCATGAATTACTACATTTTGTTTTAGTTTACTAAATTTTGTTTTATGTATAGTCTTAATGTTGATATTTTCAGTATGTGATATTTGCTGTACTTGTACATCAAATGTCATTAACATTATTGAAAAAAACTAAATTGACTAATTTCAAATAACAAAGGTAGCAATTAATATTTTTTGTGGACTGTTGATTAGCTTTAGGATATAATAAATTTCAAAGATGAGAAATGACTCAGTAATTTTTTGATAAATGATGGAATAAAAACTATACTCCTTTAAAAAGAAAATTTCTTCTGCTCAAGTTAAATTAAAATTGTCATTCACATAGTTTGAATTTCCAAGTGCTGATTAGTTAACTTTATGTTTAATTATAATTTTATACTTACCAAAGTAAAGATTATACACCTGCTTAAGATTGACTTATAATTTGATGGTAAATTTATAAAAAAAAATCATTGACACAGATCAAAATCAGAGAAGAGCATAAGTTTTTAAGTATTCAGGTAGTTATATGTTCTCAGTGTATAATTTTCCAGTTTTCTTACATATGCCTTGAAATGCATAATTATACAACTTCCGTGCTTTATCATATGCATATTCCACAGATATAGCTATCATTTTGACTCTTGAATTTTAGCGGATAGATTTTCATGACTATTATTTATAAAATTGATATTCTTTTAGCTTTGCAGTTGTCATTTTCAGTTGTCTTCATTTGTTATTCCTGTTCATGTGTTGTATGTAAAATTTCTTAGGCTATATATTCTTTTAGACTACATTAAAACAATGATTAAAATATACCCTGAGGGCCAGCTATATAGTTGGGTACACACTTGCCTTACATGTAGCTGATCCTGGTTCAGTTCTTGGCACAGCTTTTGTGCCCAAAGCCTGCCAGGCATAACAGGCATAAGACCCAAGTTCCACCAGGTGTGACCCAAAATGATATACACATAACAGGGGCTGGAGTGATAGTACATTGGGTAGGGCATTTGCCTTGCACGAAGCCAACCCAGATTCGATCCCCAGTATCCCATATGGTCCCCCAAGCAACGCTAGGAGTAATTCCTGAGTACGAGCCAGGAATAACCCCTGAGTAATGCTGGGTGTGACCCAAAAAGGCAAAAAAAATAAAATATACATAAATATGTATGTCATAAAATTATATGTGAATTTGGCACCAATTGTTAACAATGAATTTTAAAATAGCATCTTTTCTGTGTACTAATTTTAAGGATTTACCTTCAATAAATTTGTGTTTACACTGTACATATTTTTAAATGATTGAATCTCATTGTGATTCTTACCATTTCAGGGGTCGGACTGGAAAAATACGAGTGCAAAGTCTGAAGATTGGGTTAATCTCTCTCTCCAAAGGTCTCCTAGAAGAAAAGTACAGATGTATGTAAAACCTTTCTTGTGTAATATAATAGGACTTTGAGTTAGAATTGTGATAATAACTGGAGATTTTCTTCATAGATTCTCCAGTATCTACAATTCCCTTAAAAAACAAAAAATTTTACTCTGCATCAGGTTATACAAATATATTAATGTAGAGAACTGGGGATTCAGATGAAATGAAAGGTGAATACTGGATCAAAAGTAAGGTGCCTTGATTTAGGGAAAACTGACCACAAATTAATCCTCATCTGGAAGAAAGAATAATTGTTTCATTCTATAGACATTATGATGTATGTTTTCCAGCTTCAAAAAAAAGGCTTAAATCAGTTAAAATCCAGTTAAAAACTTCAGAATCAGAATATTGCTGGGCTACAATTGGATAATATCTTTTTCTTACCCTATCACTATCACTATCAGTTTCACTATCACTATCACCCCGTTGTTCTTCAGTTCGCTAGAGCAGGCTCAGTAATGCTCCATTCATCCCTGTCAAGTGCAAGTGTAGTCCGATGACATATTGGGGGCTCCTTCAGGGTCAGGGGAATGAAGACCGTTCATCGTTACTGTATTTGACATATCAAGTACTCCACAGGTAGCTTGTCAGGCTCTGCCATGCAGGTGGGATACTCTTGGTAGCTTGCAAGGCTCTCCAAGACGGATGGAGGCTTTTGGGGCAGCCTCTAATCACCTTTACAGGTGTTCCTAGTCAGGCATATAGGCAGGTATGATATTCTCAGTAGCCTGCCGGGTTCCCTAAGAGTGAGAACTAGAGAATAAGAGGTCGCACGGCCGCAAATGCAGCTGTGTGCTTCCAGGAACTTGGTTTTATAGTCTCTGGCTGGCCATTGATGGGGTTACATGGCAGTTGGTGGGTGTAACTGTCTAGCTACTGGAAGGTGGGGGAGCTGGGTGGAGGAGGCCCAGTCCCGAACCAAGCAGGCTTGGAGATCTTAGCCTCGGGTCCCGCACACCTGGGTTCCTCTGCTGTTCCTTGTCCAGGCATGTGGAGAGTGATCTCAGCATGGCCTTGGCTGGGTCCCGGAGGTCTTCAGCTGTTGGGGAATACTGTTTCTTACCCTAAAGACCAAGATTTTTTCTATTTCTGTAACTTCTAATGCTGAAAAACATAAAGATAGACTGAAACCTTTTTTTTTATTACTCTTTATCTAGAATTTTGAATATTTTCAGTGCTGAAATCAGTGATCTAGAATGACTAGATATATTTAAATAATGATATTCCATTGTGTGAGAAAATAAACAATGAAGCATTTTTCTTTTGCTATTTTATTTGATGCACCAGAGAGTATCATAACATTTGAAAGGAGTCAGCCTTGGGAGCCAAGATCACCTGCCTGCTTTCAAGTCCCTGCTCTACCCTCAGTGGCTGAATGTCTTTGGGTCCCATAACAGGCTCTCAACCAAGAGAATAAACAATATAAACAATAATGTTACTCATCTCTCACAGTTCAGGAAGCTGGAATGTAACAAATTTTTCATAGCTAACAAATGAGGCTAATAAAACTTGCTTTGAAAGCAGATGGGAATCATATGTGCAAAACTCCTAAAATTTTTTTTTTTGCTTTTTGGGTCATACCCAGCGATGCACAGGGCTTACTTCTAGGTCTGCACTCAGGAGTTACTCCTGGAGGTGCTCAGGGGACCATATGGGATGCCGGGGATCAAACCTGGGTTGGTCGCGTGCAGGGCAAATGTCCTGCCCACTGTACTATCACTCCAGCACCTAAAAATATCAGTTTGGGAGGAAAATGTTAGCAGTTGCTCTATCTCCACATTCTTAATGATTCTAAAATTGTTAAATTTTGTCTCTGAAATGTAAGTAACTCAGTCCTGCGTCTTTATTCGCAGATGGTGCTTTACACATATAGCCTTATATTTGAGGAGGAGGTATTTCAGGAATGTGGAGATACCCAAAAGAGGGGATATTTTATTTCAGGTCCTGCACACTTAGTTAAGTTTGTATTTTATGTGACCAGACACGTGGATACATTTAAAAACATAGTTTATTCTCTGGGATGGCTGTGGGATTCTTTGATTTTTAATTTTAGGTCTAGATGATGATGGCTTGTTTTTTTATACAGTTTAACACAGTGAAAAGGGATTTGTAATGAATGAAAAGATGATTATAGACCAGGAGATAAGGTTTCTCTATAGAGTGAGAACATAATAAACCATGTAGAAAAAGGCTTTTGTTTGGGGACACTTGATTTATCAAGAAATAAAATCACCTTTAGCATCTTAGTTGGCAAAAGATGTAATTTTCAGAGCTAAAAATATTATTTCTGGATTGAAAATAAAGAGAAGGTATTAATGAAGCCTTGATTGTATTAAAGTTTAAAGGACATGTTTTATCATTTGTGGGTATTTTTGTTTGTTTTGTTTTGTTTAATGTTTTGGGGCCACACCCAGCAGTACTCAGGGCTTACTCCTGGCTCTGCACTCAGGGATCACTCTTGACCATAGAGTGATCTCAGACCATATGAGATGGTGGAGATGGAACCCAGCTCAGCTGTGTGCAAGGCAAATGCCCTACCTGTGTACTGTGACTCTGGCCCTTTCATTTGTTCTTTAAAAGTTGTAGGACTTTGAAAGTACTAAGTAAAGTTTAGCTCTTAATTTAATCTGAAATGAATGCAAATGCTTCCTCAGAGTTTATCACACATCTTTAAAATGGTGATCCATTTTCTCAGGTCAGTGGCTCATTCTTCTCTTTATTTTTTTCCAAGTTATTATCAGAGAGCTACCCATTATCAACAGAACGAATCATGACATCCTGATTGTAGGCATAGTGCTAGGTTTCCAAACTTATTTGGCCTACCACCTCCCCTGTTTTAAAATTACTCAGCGCCCTCTGGAAATCTGCTTTCTTTAAGTGAACAAGCAGGAACTGCCTCCCACAATTGTATCCAAGGCTACAACCCTCCACTCCCCGCTCCCCCCATTGCTTAATTAATTATCCAGCAATCCCCAGGAGGTAGACAATATCCAATATCACCCTCTTTGAACAACATTGGTATAGAGGGAAAAAAGCAAATGCAACAGAGAGTTATAAAAACAATGTCCTTTATGTAGGCGCATACTTTCTGACGTTTATGAAATGTAGAATCTTTCAAATAAAGATGTTTCAGTACATGTGTGCATACGTGCTTGAGACGATGCACTTTCTAGAGAAATCTGGAAACAATGCTCTAATTCAGCATGGGACTTTCAAATGATAGAAACGGACAGACAGAGAAGCCCCTCCAATGAAAACTTTATCATCAATAGGACAGGGGGGAGAGCACTTGCATTTATGGGGCCAACTGGAGATCAAACTGGGGTTTGATCTCCAACACCCCATGTGGTACCCTGAAGCCCTCCAGGAGTGATGCCTGAGCTCAGAGTCAAAACTAAGCCCTGGGCACTACTGGGTGTGGCCCCAAAACTAAGGGGGTAAAATGTGATATTTATTTTAATCCATGAGAAAATGACATTTTAGGGACTAATTAAAAAAGAAATCTCTTGGGCTGAAATCTTTTCTCTGAATGTTTCCTGTATATATTGAACTCTAGTTAATGTTCTGGGGGTTGTTTTTCACTTTGAGGTTGTTAGCAACCCTGATTCCAGTCTTGATTTCCCCAGTGAAATGCCTCAGAAAACATCCTCATGATTATTTCCTTTGTTAGAATTAATATTCAAGACAATTTGCTCGTCAAACTCAGGGGCAGATGTGCTGTGCGGGGTCAGTTGATGTCAGCTGAACATTGATTTTTGTAAAGACTAGGGTCAGTATCCCAGCCTGCTGATTGATTCCTTAGAGTTCTTTTTTTCTCTCATGATAACATCCCTTGATTAGGTTGTAGCAATATCCTGCCTTCCTGTTGTGTCTGGGTGAATCTTCCTCATTAAACGCACGTTTCTTTTATGTCCCTTTCCATCTCTTGTATGCTGATTTATGGGAATTAGGGTTTTAGATTATGTGTTTCCTCTCACCCATGCCCACATCTGCCTGACACTCCCAGTTTTATCTGATTACACTCTGGAAATATGGACTTGCAGAAGAATTCAAAAAATTCAGAATATTTAATTTGTTTTGATTGTAATTTTACCTTAATTGTGGCTTAATTAGGTCTTCCTCCAGAGAGGAAAATTGGCCATGGATGATCTCATTGAAAATTTGTGCTTCTCTATAAACATATTGTACACATACATAGAAATTGTTTATCTACCTAAATGGTCTCTTCCCAGCACTGGGGTTTAACTGGACACTTTATAAGAATCCTGAATAAATATTTGGCTATGATCATTTAATTTGAAAATATGAAAAGAAACCAGAAGAACCATAATCAATTTTTTTAGGTCAGCAAATTATAAATAAGAATTACATTTATCTTAGTTGAATTTGCTTTCCCTGTGTATGGTTAAATTACAGTCATAGCTTGTTATTATCACTGTGTCAGTATCAATGAGTTTATCTAGTATTGTAAAACTCACTGTTCTTAGTGATGAGTCTATCCATATTCCCTAAAAGAATATCCCAGGGAATGATATGTTTCAAACTGATGTTCATGTATTGCTACTGTTTGGAAATGAGGGTTTTTTTTAATTCCATAAATATTTGCTTTGCTTCCTTCTGGCTTCAGAAAAATTCACATGAAAAACATTCAGAATTTGCATAATTCAGAGTTTTTAAACTTGTAAATTTCTTTCCAGTAAGTATTCATTTTTGTAAGGGAGTGGATTGATTTTTATGTAGAATTTCAAGTTCCACTTATTTAAGTATATTATCCTTATTGCTGGAAATATTATAATAATATTAAACTCCAAGTTATTGCAGATGATGAATAAAAGATAAGATGGTTCTGGAAAGGAGAGGTTTTGGTTTGTCTAGATCAAGAAAATTATAAAACAAAAGACTTTCTTCTAATAAAGGAAGTGAAAAGACCTAAGAACTGTGAATACATAAAGATAGTTTTTGTTAATAAGTCCCTTAAATTTGTATAAGTGCGTTTTGTTACTGAAACTGAAATAATACAAGAATAAGTTAAAAGCTAATAATGGGACACTAGTTGAGCTGACAAAAAGCTGACAAAAATATGTATATACACATACATATGTGTATATATGTATATATATGTGTATATATGTATATATATGTATATATACAGAGAGAGAGAGAGAGAATATTTGAGAGTCAACCCAAAAAGTTGGTAAACAAAACTGTTAAAATTTAAAGATTTTCTACCAATGCTACATTTATTCCTTTAATTACTTTACTTTTTTTACTCAGAGGAAGACCGTATTGAGACCATGAACACATGCATTTATTGCACGTTTATAAAAAGGAAATTTGTGTTAATTGGCCTATTTATATCTGTTGACATATAAAAATAAGATAATTGCTCCAAATCCCAAAATAAATAAAAGTAGGTTATCTTTAAGAAGCATGTGGCTAATCGCTTTCTAATTGCAAACACGAAGAATGTTAAGTTTGGTGGGGTTCAGGAGACAGCTAGTCAGAATGATATTTGTTTCTTATCTGCATTGTGCAATCTACCCAACTAATTAATCTTACCAAAGAGAACACTGCAAGCAGGTAGAAATTAACCTCACTGCTCTTCCTGCAGATCTCTTCAATGAAGTGGCAGGACCCACAGAAATGTGTGACCAGAGGCAGCTGGGCCTGTTACTTCATGATGCCATCCAGATTCCTCGACAGCTGGGGGAAGTGGCCGCCTTTGGAGGCAGTAACATCGAACCCAGTGTCCGAAGCTGCTTCCAACAGGTAAACTGCATCAGGGGCAGAAAGGGGGCGGGAGGGACTATATGGAGTCAGCTCTAAAAAATGGAACTTGGGCTGGAACCTGTGGTGAAGAAAATTGGGTTTGTGTATAAAGTTTGTGTGTGTGTGTGTGTGTGTGCGCATGTGTGTGTGTGTGTGTGTGTGTGTGTGTGTGTGTTTCTTTTTGGGTCACACCGAGCAATACACAGGAGGTACTCCTGGCTCTGCACTCAGGAATTACTCCTTGCGGTGCTCAGGGGACCATATGGGATGCTGGGAATTGAACCCGGGTTGGCCATGTGCAAGGCAAACGCCCTACCCAGTGTGCTATTGCTCCAGTCCCCTGTGTGTTATTTCTTTTTTAAAAAATTTTTATTAGTGAAACACCATGAGGTACAGTTGTAGACTTAAAAATTTTTGTGCTTGGGTTTCAGTTATACAATGATCGAGTACCCATGTGTGTTATTTCTTAAAGCACATTTGGTTTGAGGGACAGCAGCTTCCTCTAAGAGCCTCTACATGCTTCAAATGAAACGACTTTAGTACGTGTTATTCGGTTGTTGTGTTTTGGCCCTACCCTTGTCAATTCTCATTGTTTTTGCCACTTGTCCCCTGGCTGTCTGCTTTTCAACCACAGTTTCACATCCTTTATTCCCACCTCAGTGCCATGGAAACTGTGTCTTCTGTTCAGAACATCCTCTCTCATTCTCCAACCACCAACCTTCTTACTACTAAGCTTTGTTCGTTCTTGAGATCTTTCCTTAACACTGATCTCCTCTGAAAAATCCTTCTCTGCCCACCCTTCAGAGAAGTCTATGTGAACTTACTGTATTCACCTGAAACAGCTCTGTCTTCACACCATTCATTATCAATATTATTCCATGCAGAAACCAATCAATAATTGGTTGTTGAATGTATTTTTCTTTCTAGATCATGAACAAGGTTTGATTGTGTTTTTCTTGTTTATCCCTATGTGCATTGCCTTGGATATTATAACTACTTAACAAATATTTGTTATATGAACAAAACTACCCACACTTACTTGTAGGCATGATTTTTAATAGAAATTAAAGAAACCAGGGCTGGAGTTATAGCACAATGGGTAGGGCTTTTGCCTTGCACGTGGCCGACCTGGGTTTGATTCCCAGCATCCCATATGATCCCTCAAGCACAGCCAGTAGTAATTCCTGAGTGCAGAGCCAGGAGAAGCCCCTGCATATCACTGGGTATGACCCAAAAAGCAGGAAAAAACCCAGAAATTAAATAAACCATTAAAATAATTTATTTATCTACCTATATGTAAATGGAGAATGATATACAAAAGTTTGTACCAATGTAGGCTAGATATATAAAATTGAAAAATCAGTTTATTTTCTAATTCTTAGTATATATAGAAACTATTTTAAAACATTACTATTGATGTTACACATACACATAAAAAACAAGCGGGCAGATATTTTGCCAAAGCTTATCCAGTGATTTATCACGCAGAGGAAAAATAAACAAATTACTCACACAATGTTAGTATGGAGAATTGATGTTATGGGTTATTACATTTTGTAATGGCCCTTTTCTTATTTTAGAAATACAAAAAGTATCAAAAGAAAATTCTGAATATGATTCTCACATGTACTAGATCATAGGATGACCTTGACAGCAGCAGGCAAGGAATATTGGTTCAAATTTAACTTTGCCAGTGTGAAAATTTTCAGTATTAGCATTGAAGAGGCACCAGAAGTTTCATAAAACTTGTCGTGATAAATTTGAAAATCCTGCAAAGCACATGCCGTGTGATCACTCTCAGTCTGATATTTAATAGAACTGGAGTAAGACACAGTTACTAGAGTTTTATTTAGCATTTGTAATTGCCTTCCAGTTGTGATGTCAGTGTGTCTTTTTTTTTAATGATTATTACTACTTTTTTTTTAATCACTGTGAGACACAGTTACAAAGTTTTTCTATCTGAGTTTCAGTCATACATTGATAGATCATCTAACCGTCCACCAGTGCACATATTCCACCTCCAAGGTTCCCAGTATCCCCCACATATCCCACCCCTCCCCCTGCCTCTGTGGCAGACAAGCTCCCCCATACTCTCTTTTGTATTGCTTGTTATGAATAGCATAAGATGTCACGTGGCCACAAGAGAGGCTGTGTGCTCCTGGAATTCTAAAATTTTAGATAATAGGATCTGCAGCAAGTTGCTTGGTTCGGAGATTCTTTTGTGTGTCTCTGGATCATGGCCCTTCCATCTTTTCCAGAGAGCTATGCCCTGCAGGTCGCACTCGCTTGCCCATAGCACACTGAGCCAACCTTAACTGTGGCTTTTGATGTCTTCTGAGGTTTATAAGTTTCTGAAATAAGGCCAATCAATGAGCTTGTATAGCTGAGCCAGAGGTGGTTTGTGGGTGTGGCTACCACATTCCTAATTTTTGGTCATTTAATTTCTTGGTAAACTTGGCTCCAAATTGTTGGGGTCCGGCCAAAGGCATAGCAGCAATTTTGGGTTATCAGGAAGTTTGAAGGCTGCTGATGAAAGTCAGGATGTCCTATAAAAAAGTGTTTGCAGTCCTCCGTGAATGGATTTTATGGGATTACAGTATTTACGTGAAACAGAAGAGTTCTTTGAATTATAAGGGTTTGGGTTTTATCTTACTCTTTCCCCTCCTATTTCCTTTTTTGTTGCTGTTTTTGCCATGACCAGGTTCACACATGGTTTGTTTTGGTATTCACAAGCTTTTTCAGTTTGTTGGTCACCTGGTAGCCCTGGTTGAGGTGCTTTCTTGAAGAATGTTCTCCTCTGATTTAACTGACTTAGAGTTCTATAATACCCCTTTGAATTCTATATAGTTTTTCAAGGATGAAGCTACATTTGCCCCATTCGGTGGAGGCGGAAACTCTTAAGTGGTACTCACATACACCTCCCAGTCCAGTGCCTTATCATGCCAGAAATTATGCAGGCCACCCTGACAGTGACCATGTCTGTAGTACCCTGTGATGCTCAGGGGACCATAGAGTACCAGGAATAACTGGGGTCAGCTTCATGCAAGGCACACAACATAACCCTGGATTATCCCTTTGACCTTCCATTTAATGAAGGAATTTTACTCACATTTAATATGTTTGTTTCTTCACCAGAATAACAACAAGCCAGAGATAAGTGTGAAAGAGTTTATAGATTGGATGCGTCTGGAACCACAGTCTATGGTTTGGTTGCCAGTTTTACACAGAGTGGCAGCAGCTGAGACTGCAAAACATCAGGCAAAATGCAACATCTGTAAAGAATGTCCAATTGTTGGATTCAGGTAAGAACTATGATCACTGGGAGCTGGGGCAATAGTACAGTATGTAGGGCATTTGCTTTGCAAACTGCCACCCTGCGTTCAATCACCATCATCTCGGAGTGCAGAGCCAGGAGTAATCTCTGAGCATTGCTGGTTGTGACTCAGACTCAGACAAACAAACAAACAAGCAAACAAACAAACAAACAAAAAAACTATGACCAGTGGTGGCAGCCAACTGTTTTCTGTTCTGTTTTCATAATATCTGTGTATGGCCATCATCCTTTTCCCTGCATCCCCATCCGGGTGGGTTGCTTCTTAAACAAAGGAGATGGTCATGATAATCTACTCTCTGAAAAATGTCATGTCCTTCTATAGCCATGTCCTGAAGTTCATTCTATTATTGTTATTTTGTCTACACTTTGCTAGAGAGTTAAGAGATTTTTCTGAATTTCTCCTTACATGGATTGTAGAAATTTTCATTGCATGTCTCTTAATACACAAATGACCCTGACAGGACAAAATTGGTAGGAGTGTGAAGACTTTCAGATAAAATTCTATATGCAGGAAATAATACTTTGAGAAGTAATCAACTTACTTTGCATTATTTCTGTCAAGTTTAGCAAGATGATCAAGCTCATGGTTCGCCTTCATTTAAGAAGCTGTGCTTACTACTATACAGTCATATAAACAGAATCAAATTTGTAACTTTTGGACTGTGCTAAAATACATGGCATTTTCAGCCCTGCTACTTATAAAATACACCGTTGTTGACAGAAAACCATGATCATAAGCAAAGCAGTGTTGACAAAATATTACATAAGGACATGGCTATAGTCTTTATATGTAAAATAACTAAGACTTAAATATTAGGCAATTTTCCCATAGCTAGATACCCAACACAGAGACAAAGTTGGGATGTAAATCAAGTTCTTTTGACTCTGGATTTCATATTCTTAATCAATATCTATAAGAAAGGAGATTAGGTTTTTAGAAGAGATATTTGCCATTCAGGAGAAATTATATTGTACTGTGTAGAACAATTGATTGGGGATATTGATAAAACAAAAATACTATACTAATAAAATTTATTGTGGCACCATGGGAAATATCAAGTTTAACTAATTGCAGAAGAGGTCAGTTTATATAAAACCTGTCATGTGTGAACATTGCAATTCCTAAAGATATGATGAGGGGCCAGATTTATGAAGCCATGAAGTAAAGGATTAGACCATATGCCATAAAGAATAAAAGTGTGTGACAGCTTTAGTATCCCATAAAGTCTTCTTCCTTAAATAGAAAATAACTGATACCAGCTGTAGGACAGTATTAACACTTAACAAAGCTGAGATGTGGATCCTTGAATATTTATTATCTTACTCTCTTTGCCTTTTAATGAACATGAAATATTTCATGGAAATAAGAAAGAATAGTTAGAAAGGGAGAACAGAGTTGGTGGTGAGTTTGGAAGATTGAAGTAAAATGCCTGTGTAGATGTTCCTTATACAAAGAGGTTATTAGACATCAAGTCTGTAGTAGGAAGAGTTGTAGGCATAGATTGAGAACCAACTCTGGTGTCAGACTGCTGAAGTTAGTATCCTTGGTTTACTATTTGACTGTGTCTTTGGTTAAGTTGTTTCTGGAACCTGAGTTTCTTCAACTTAAATTTCTATGAGGGTTTTCTCACAAAAGCAGTTAGAGTACATACATGTAAAATGACAAGGGCAGTTCTTGTCAAAAGAGCAGACATTCAATAAAATGTAGTTATCTTCATGATTACTAACCAGTTCACTGGTAGGCTAGTAGCTAAGCCTAATTGCACTAGTGAACTGTTTATTGAGCAGTCATTGAACTGTTCTTTTAAGTGGAAATACCTGTATAATGCATGCAGATTAATACTTGGTAGAAGTCTGGACTGAAAAGAGAAGAGGAAGAGGAAAGAAGTATGGGAGAATTCTTAAGGAGCACAAAGTCATGGAAATGAAAGGGCTTTAGAAAGATGGTAGTGGCATTAACAATGGTGACTCAGCAGTCAGGTCCTAGGAATTAGCTTAACAGAACAGGCGAAAGATGTATACAAAGAAAAACTATACAATATACTATTCAAGAAGGAGTGGTTAATGGCGTTGATTTTTAAAATTCTCTTCTTTATTTTATCATTTTCATATAGAAAACCATGGATTTCTGTGTGTTAATTTTGTAACCTGCCACTTTATTATACAAGTCTATCATTTCTTTTTTTATTTTTAATTTTAAATTTATGTTATTGAATCGCCATTACAAAGCTGTTCATGACTAGGTTTCAGTCATATCAGTTCCAACACTCATCCCTCCACCAGTGTACATTGCCCAGCACGAATGTCCCCAGTTTCCCTCCCACCCACCCACCCACCCACAATTTCCCCTCCCAGCCTGCATCTTTCTTCTCTCTCTCTCTCTCACTCACTCACTCACTCTCTTTCTCTCTCTCTCTATTCCCCTATCATTTCTAGGAGTTTATCTTTGTGCAGTCATTAGGATTTTTTAAGTATAATATATTAATATATATCATCCACAAATACTGAGTTTAGCTTCTTTTCCAATCTGCATGCCCTTAATCTCTCTCCTCTCTCTCTCTATCTCTCTATCTCCTTCTCTCTCACTAATTGCTCTTGAAAATTGAATGGTAATCAGAAGCTTCCCAAAACAAAAATTCCAGGTGTAGATGGTTTCACTAGTTAGTTATTTCACACTTTTAAGGAAGATCTATTCCTATTTTCAGGTTCTTTAAGAAAGCTGAAGAAGCAGTAATTCTCCCCATTACTATATGGCAAACATTACCCTGATACCAAAAGTGGACAGACATCATTGAAAAGAAGAATTATGTGCCTATATTTTTGATAAAATAGATGCAAATATCCTCAAGAAAATATTAGCAACTAAATCTAGGAATACATCCAAAGTATCATACACCATGACCAAATAGGATTCATCCTAGGGCTGCAAAAATGGTTTAATATACACAAGTCAGTTGACATAATACACCATACAAGAGAGAATAAAAATCATATGATCAGATCAGTAGACACAGAGAAAATATCCAAGATCGAAAACTTATTCATGGTAAAAAAAAATCCTCAATAAAATGGAAGTGGAAGGAATTTTCCTCAACACAGCTAAAGTCATCTACCAAAGTCCACAGCAAACTGTGGTTTTTACTCAGTTGTGAAAAACTGAAAGCCATCACTCCTTAGATCAGGCACAACACAGGTTGACCACTCTCACCCCTCATATCCAATACAGTTTTCAAATTTTAAATCATTTCTGTAGGCTGGATTATATTTATGTTCTTCACTATGACCAGTTCAGTAGAAGAAGATGCATCTAGGTGGTGATTTCCAATCAGAACCAGAGAAACTTGAAATCTAGACTTTTTTCTCCCCTAAGTAAGATTTGGTGATTGAAAACAGATGCTTGTCCTCATTACTTTAATTGATTAGTATATTAAATAATTTTTCTTACTGTCTTGCAGTGGGGCGGGCTATTCCCTATGGTGCTCAGGGACTATTCTCAGCTCTGTGCTTGGAAATTGTTCGCAATGGTGCTCAGAAAACCACATGGGGCCAGGAATTAAAATAGAGTCTTCTGTGTACACAGCATGTGCCTTACCTCCTGGAGTAACTCCCCAGCCCTGTGTCATCTCATTTTAATATGAACTTGAAAGTTGTTTCCATTGCAGAATGTGTTCTGGTCAGTGTTTTTATTTTTTATTAAATTTTTACTCATTTTATAATGATCAATATAAAACTTATCACTAAAAAATAATTTCTTCATGTCATAAATTTGAGATTCGTTTCTTATCAATGGCATAATTAATATTTTAGTATTTGATGTGTTAAGTTAATAATCAGGACCTTTTTACTTCTGTACTACTTGTATGCATATATACACATTACGGGAAATATTATGAAACAAATCTTTGTCTTGACATGCCAAACAGTTCTCAGAATCTGTTTGTTTTTTTCATTTGTTTGTTTTTTACTTGGAGGTATTTTTATTAGTTTCCTTTGTTAACTTCAGAATTCCCTTGTTCTAATAGAGAGCTAAGATGCTAAACAGATTCCACACAGGTAGCCAATCTACCTTTTATTTCCACAGTGATTTGGATGAATGAAATTCCTTGTTACAAATGATTGATTTAGACTAAATAACAGTCATGCATGCCACCATTTTTTCTTTTCTCTAGGTATAGAAGCTTAAAGCACTTTAACTATGATGTCTGCCAGAGCTGCTTTTTTTCTGGTCGAACAGCAAAAGGCCACAAATTACATTATCCAATGGTGGAATATTGTATACCTGTAAGTACTAAGCCACAGTTTGGGGTCTTTGTTTGTAATTTGTTGTTGTCGAATTAAGTAGTCTATTATTATTATTCAGCAAAATGAAATAACATTTTTTTCTGAAAAAAGTCCTTTTGTTATTCCTTTTTTAGCAAATAAATCAATGTTAAATTTATTAAAACTAATCATACTTTTTATAAAATAATTTTTATGTATTGTTTATACCTGTATTAAATTTTAAACTTTTGTTAAGAGTAGCACTGTAGCATTGTCCTCCTTCTATTCATTGATTTGCTCGAGCAGGCCCACTAACGTCTCCATTGTGAGACTTGTTGTTACTGTGTTTGGCATATGGAGTAAACCTTGTTATATTAAAGGAGCATAATGCTTTCATTTATTAATTATTTTTAATTGAATCACTGTGAGATAACAGTTACAAAGCTTTTGTGTTTGATCGAATACAATGATCGAATACCTATCCCTCCACCAAAGCTCATCTTCCACCACCAATGTCTCCAGTGTCCCCCTCCTACTCCACCCCTCCCCCTACCTCTATGGCAGACAATTTTCCCCATACTCTCTCTCCCTCTCCACTTTTGGACATTATGGTCTGCAATACAGATACTGAGACGCTATCACATTTGGTCCTTTATCTACTTTCAGCACACGTTCCTGTCCTAAATGATCCTGCCAACCATTCATTGACTTAGTGATTCCTTTTCTATTCTAGGCAACTTCTCCCCCCAGTTCATGAGTCAGTCTTCCAACCATAGCGCTTCCAACCAATCTTCCTGGCCCTTGTCTCTGCAGTCCTTGGGTGTCAGTCTCATATTATCCTACTTTATATTCCACAAATGAGTGCAGTCATTCTATGTCACTCTCTTTCTGACTCATTTCACTTAGCATGAGACTCTCCATGGGCTTGAGCAATAGCACAGTGGTAGGGCGTTTGCCTTGCGTGCAACTGACTGGGCCGAGCCGGGTTTGATTCCTCTGCCCCACTCAGAGAGTCCGGCAAGCTACCAAGAGTATTTCGCCCACAGGGCAAAGCCTGTCAAGCTACCCATTACGTATTTGATATGCCAAAAACAGTAACAACAAGTCTCAAAATGGAGACATTACTGGGCCCACTCGAGCAAATCAATGAACAACGGGAGGACAGTGCTTTTGTTTGATACTCTCCATGACCATCCACTTACAAGCAAATTTCATGACTTCATCTCTCCTACAGCTGCATAATATTCCATTGAACCAAAGTTTCTTTAACCAGTCATTTATTCTCCAGCCCTTGGGTTGTTTTCAGATTTTAGCTATTGTGAACAATGCTTTAGTGAACATACAGGTGCAAATGTCATTTCTATTGTGCTTTTTTGCACCTCGGGATATATTCCCAGAAGTGGTATTGCGGTGTCATATGGAAGCTCAATTTCTAGTTTTTGAAGGAATGCCCATATTGTTTTCCAAAGAGGCTGAACCAGTCAGCATTCCCACCAGCAGTGAAGGAGAGTCCCCTTCTCCCCACATCCACCCCAACACTGGTTGCTTTTGTTTTTTGATGTGTGCCAGTCTCTGTGATGTGAGGTGATATCTCATTGTTGTTTTGATTTGCATCTTCTGCTGATTAGTGATATAAAGCATTTTTTCATGTATCTTTTGGCCATTTGTCACTTAATCACTTAATCACTTAACTTCCCGTTAGTCATCGATTTGCTCGAGCGGGCGCCAGTAACGTCTCCATTTGTCCCTGTCGCGTGCTAGTGTAGCCCAATGGCATCTCTTCGCTCCGGGAACATGGAGGGCCTCAAACCGATCGTTCATGACCTTGACAAAGAAGTCTGACCATCTGATAGGTGGGCGGCCACGCGGTCTCTTGACATCCCGTGGAATCCAATCAGTAACAGCTCTAGTCCAACGGTCGTCTTTAAATCTCATTACGTGACCAGCCCATCTGATTTTCGACACCTTGGCAAATGAGACAGCGTCCCTGATCCTTGATCGTCCATGGATGTCAGAACTCCGGATTCGTTCTCTCATTTGAGTGAAACGTGATATTCCAAGCATAGCTCTTTCTATTCTTCTTTGGGAGACCTGAATGGCGTTCTCATCTTGTTTGCGTAGGGCCCAGGTCTCTGAGGCATATGTTAATGCAGGAAGAACAGTGGAATCAAAGAGATGTGCCCGGAGCCGGAGGTTCTTCGTCCTCTTAGCTATTTCTTCGACGTTCTTGAAGGCGTTCCAAGCCGCTCTCTTCCTCCTGCGCAGCTCGGGTGCCAGGTCATTTGTCATGTTGACCTCTCGACCTAGGTACACATAGCTGTTGCATTCGGAGATGGTCATTCCATTGAGAGCGAATGGGGCGTCAGGAACAAGGCTGTTTCTCATAAACATTGTCTTCGTAAGATTCAGCTGTAGTCCTACCTTTCCACACTCACGGTCAAAGTCGGCCAGCATTTGTGCCGCTTGGCTGATGTTTGGTGTTATTAAAACAATGTCATCAGCAAAGCGGAGGTGGTGTAGTTGCCGACCATCTATCTTCACTCCCATTCCTTCCCATTCCAGTCGTCGCATGATGTTCTCGAGGGTGGCACTGAAGAGTTTTGGTGAAATGGTATCACCCTGCCGCACCCCTCTCTTGACATCAACGATCACTTCTTTGTAGAATGGTGAGATCCTGGTAGTGAATCCGCAATACAGCTCACGGAGGATCCTGATGTATTGGGCTTGAATGCCCTGATTGGCTAGGGCTTCAATGACCGCTTCCGTCTCAACAGAATCAAAGGCCTTCTTTAAATCAATGAACGTTAAGCAGAGCGGCATCTTGAACTCCCGAGAAATCTCAATGAGTTTGGTTATCGTGTGGATATGGTCGATGGTGCTGAATCCTTTGCGGAACCCTGCTTGCTCACATGGTTGTCCTTCATCTAGTGTTCTGCCAATCCTATTCAGGATGACTCGAGTGAACAACTTGTAGATGACAGACAATAGGCAGATCGGGCGATAGTTGCCAATGTCATGGATGTCTCCCTTCTTGAACAGTAGTACGGTCCTGCTGGTTTTCCATTGAGATGGAACCTTGCATTCAGACAGGTAGCGAGTGAAGAGCCGAGCCAGTGTATTGATGAGTACTGACGGCAGGTTCTTTAGGTGTTCAGGTCTGACCTTGTCTGGGCCGGGTGCTGTTTGCTTCTTTACTGACGAAATGGCGTGTCGGATTTCGGAAGGGAGAACGTTGGGAACGACATACCCATCCTGTGGAATTTGGTATGTCGGCAAGTGGACATGGCTATCGAAGAGATTTGAGTAGAAGTCATGGATAATCTTCTCCATTGCCGTTCTGGAGGATGTGATGGATCCATCAGGACGTCGGAGGGCAGTCATCTTGGTCTTATAGTTGGCGAAGGACAGGCGGGCGTTACGAATACTTTTCCCGGCTTCTGCCGCATCTACCAGTACTTCTGCTCTTCTCTCTTTGAGGTCTTCCTTGATCGCATCTCTGCACTGCTTTGCAAGCTCGGACGTTAGCTTGCGGCCATTTGTATTTCTTTTTTTTTAGGAAGCTTTTGTTCATTTCTTCTCCCCATTTTTTGATGGGGTTGGAGGTTTTTTCTTGTACAATTCTACTAATGTCTTATATATCCTGGATTTTAACCCCTTATCTGTTGGGTAGTAGGCACATAATTCTTTCCCATTTAGTGGGCTCTCCCTGTATTTTGATCACTATTTCTTTTGAGGTGTAGATGCTTCTTTGTTTAATGTAGTCCCATTTGTTTATGTTTGTTTCTACTTGTTTGGTCAGTGCTGTTTCAATCTTAAAGATGCCTTTAGCTTCAATGTTATGAAGGGTTCTGCCTACATTTTCCTCCATGTACCTTATAGATTCAGGTCTGATATTAAGGTTTTTAATCCACTTGGATCTGAGTTTTGTGCCTGGTGTTAGACAGAGGTCAGAATTCAGTTTTGCAGGTAGCTCTGTCCAGTTTTCCCAGCACCACTTGTTGAAGAGGCTTTCCTTGTTCCACTTCACATTTCTTGCTCCTTTGTCAAAGATTAAGTGATCAAATATTTGAGAGTCTGTGATAGAATATACAGTTCTGTTCCACTGGTCTACGGGTCTGTTTCTAGTCCAATACCATGCTGATCAAAATGCAGCAATATTTTACATATATAAATCCCACATTCCTTGATATCACTGTCACTGTTCTCCCATTGTTCATCGATTTGCTCAAGCGGGCCCAGTAACATCTCCATTGTGACACTTGTTACTGTGTTTGGCATATCGAATACGTCACGGGGAGCTTGCCAGGCTTTGCTGTGTGGATGAGATACTCCCAGTAGCTTGCCGGGCTTTATTATCTCAAATAAATATGCATCTAATAGTTGGAGAGAAATGCTCCAGAAAATATTGCTGAATTATACTTGATGGAAAATCAATATTGCTTCATTAACGAGGAAAAAAATCTGAGAAAATTTGTGAAGCTCCGTGTATTACTGATCATTCATTCAACACATAGTATTGAGTACCTAAGCATGTGTCAGAAGCTCTTCTTGGTTCTAACATTTCATCAGTGTCCTTCCAGGTAAACAAGATTACTGCCTCTCCTGCTACTTCCATTTAAGAGGAGCGGATGTGTGGCAGTGAATAAATGAGATCATTACAGATTGCAGTCAAAGCCTTAAGAAAAATAAATGGATAAAAGATTAGAGGAGACACTCGAGATAAAGAGATCAGGAAAGGTGCTTCTGAGAAGTTAATATTTGTCTTGAGATTGAAGGATGAGAAGGAATCAGAGTTATAAAGGACTAGTGGAAGAGTACATTAGAAAAAAAAAAGAACCATGGTCTAGAGGTAGAAAGAGTTTAGCATGATTTAGACACAGAAGAAAGAAGAACATGTCCAGAGAGAGAAGATGCGTAGGTAGCACTATGTAACTTGGAATGCACAGAGAAAAACAAAACTGTAGATTTCCTTTTCGGAAATCACTAAGATATTCAAGGTGCCACTAGTGGAGCATTTAAAT